GCTTAAAAGAAAGAAAGAGGAAACTACCTAGCTAGAAGCAGTGGAAATGGTGGCTGTACGTCAGCAGAAGAGAAAGAAATCCACAAGTCATAGGGTAAGCATGGCTCGCCACTTCTTGGGAAGGAAGGGAAAGACCCTGTCCGAAAAGCAATGGCACAGAAAAAAAACAACATTAAGCAATTCCCACACCGCGCCAGCCGGGGAACTAAATATCCTTGGCACACTCAAGGGACTTGGGAACTGGCCACTGTCCCTGGTGCAGGAAAGCTGGTGGGGAGCGCGTGCCCAGGCTCCCTCCCTCGCTTGACACGAAATCCTGGATCCCACAGCCTGGCAAGCCTGTATTTAAGTGCATGCGGGAACCCTCCTGACGGCTCTAAGACGCTGCTGAAGGCTACGTCTTCCCCCCTGCCCAGGCCTTTGATTCCAGACGGGCTGCTACGTCTCGCTAAGATCACATACGAGGGGAAACCAGGCGCTATTTGAAGTGAGGTTTCAAAGGTTATGGTCAGGCAAGTAACAGACGGAAAGCAAGTCAGGAGAACTGGTCCTCCTCCTCCTCCTCCTCCTCCTCCTCCTCCTCCTCCTCCTCCCAGGCCCCCGCAGCGGCGCTCGGTTCCCACCGCAGCGTTCGGTAGGTAGCTACTACGCTGAACTGGAACTGTCAGAATAGGCCAGCACGTGATCATAAATCCCAGCCAGCTAGCGTGGATCAAGTCAGACAACAAAAACAGGAACTAATTTAAAGAAAAAAAAAATAATCATGCAAATGTAATGGCATGCAAGGTCAGTTAGAGTTTTGTTATCTACACACACGTACTCCCTCCCCTCCCTCTCTCCCACAGCGGGACTCGTATTGCTCCAAGGCTTTGGCTACGGAAGGAACATGGGTCGGACTAAGCTCCGGGGTTTAGCCACAGTGGGCTGTGACCACTTATTTCCTGAGGCTGGTTTTTGCAGAGCCAGGGTTGCTGCAGGCAGCCCTCCGAGCGCTCTGCAGGAGGACCCGATCCAGTCAATGACGCTCCCCCGAGCTGCTGATGTCCAGCCCTGATGCTCAGTTCAAAATTTGGGGCCGAGAATGAATTTGCTGCTGCCAGCTTTGATGACAAAAATGGATGGTATCGTTACCTCGCCCCTTCACCCACCCCTGAACTTCCAGTTGCATAGAGTCCTGTACCCAATCCTTCTTCCTTCTTGTTCCCACTGTTTTATTAGATGAGTTAATAGTTATTCATGTTAAAAAAATTGAAAAAAAAAAAGAGAAAATATAAAAAAAGAAAGAAAACAGATGGTAGAGACACATTACTGCAAAAGCAGGTGAATGCAGGAACATCCTTGGCTGGACAGGCTTTATGTGAAGCTTGCACTGCAAGTTAAAAAAAGAACAAAAAACAAAAAAGTTAGCAATAATGGAACTCAAAATGAAGGGAAAAAAAAACAAAACCAAAAAAACAAAGTCAAAGAAAGCTGGGAGAGCCAACACCAGCAACCCGCTCTGGTGGGTGGGCATGCAGATGGATTATGGAATTATAAAGAAATTAAACCCCAAGGCCAGGCTCTACTCCAGCCTGTGACAAGCAAAAGCAAAAAGAAAAACCAAGGAGGCAGAACTACTGAACAACCAACCACATCAGTCAAAATTAAAGATGTAAGCACACAGCGGTTGCTGTCCTGCAGCTTCTTTTTGTTCAGAACTTGCGTGGCTGGTGGGTACGGCTGTGGGTGTCCTGTTTGGGTTCCTCCACACCCTTGCAGAAGGCTGCGTGCTGAGCTTTTACCCAAACCAGGCCATCTCAGACCTGGGCACCACGATGCCTCCCCGCACTTGAGCACATCAGCTTTCAGACCCAAGTCAGATCCTTCAGACATCAACAAAACCCGCTTGTTACAGGGTGTCGGGCCAGGCCCTGAGAAACGTGTGAGAGCTCAGCGATCACTTTGGGACTAAGCACGGCCCATCACAGCCAGAGCAGTCACTGGACTGGAAATTGGTATGTAGAAAACTAACTAGAAAGAAGTTTTTAATCTGTTTCTCAGAAGTAGCTTGAAATAAAAAGAAACAGAGCCCAAACAGATGGTCTCGGCTTTGAGGACAAGCAAATAATCCAACAGCACATGTTGAGGCATGCATGTGGCCATCTACCAAACAACAGGCAAAGCACCAGAAGGCTATTTTCTGCTCCTAGTTGGTTGTGCCAAGTCTATTGCCAGGAACCATCTCCAGATTTGTTGAGGTTCCAGATTCGCTGAGGTTTGAAGCACAGTCCCATCCCAAAATTATGGCAGGGGCTTGGTAAGTGTGCTCAGCTCTCCATTCAGACAAGGACTTGAGGATGTGTCTATACTAGAGTCGCACAAGCGTCTGAGGTACACACATGTGTCCTGAAAAGAGCTCGCTTGTGTCATCAGGCCAGAACTGCAACAATTTTTGATGAAAAACAAATAAGCTATGGGAATCTGAGAAATGGACTACAAAGAAAAAGGTATAAAACCACAAGTTGTTTCTGTAGGAACAGTCTGAAAATCAAGAGGGCCAAATTCTCCATCATGGAGTTAGGCCAGCAACAGACTTCACCCCGAGCCTTCCCTCCAGCTTGCACAGCTGGAGGGGAGTAAGAAGTTGCCGTTGTCCAAGTCTGATCCCACTCTGACAAAGCAGCATTCCCATGAATTACTTTCTGGGAAGGCTACACGGATCATGCATGGCACGGATTTCTTCTGGCAGCTGCACAAGAACCACCACAGGCCATGTCAGTACAGAGGAAAGTCGAAAGCCTTACCTAAATAAACTCCAGCTTTTCATTAGAGCACAAGGAAGAACTTAAAGCCTTTAGAAAACCCAAGGTGTGCTACAAGGCAGAAGCATCAGCATTTCCCTTTAAAGCCTCCGTTAGTAATTCACACACTAAAGAACAATTGAAGCAGTTACAGCACCTGGTGTGGAGCGACACCGAAAGGACACACTAAAGCACGAGCATGTTCCTCACAGCTGGATTTCTGTGAATGCATCAGCAAAGCAGAAACTGTGTTTGTTACGGTCGCTAGAAATGACCACGTAACACACCCAACAACATGGTGCACGTGCCAGCCAACTTCACAGAAGCAAGTAGTAGCTAACACTGACTACCAAAAGCCACAAAACTCCCTAGACCATTATGTAATGCACTGGTCTCATACCTAGAGATGCAAAAACTGACTGCAGAGTTCCCAAAAATACTAAGCTATCGACTTTGTTTAAGAGACAATAAAAAGGGTCTTCAAAATTCGCTACTCCTTTTAGAAAACAGCTCACTGTGGCTGAACTCTCACGCGAGGTAAGATGGGGGTTTCAGCCTGTCCTACTTACAAGCATCAATTGCAGAAGGGTATTTCAGCTTGCTCGCACGTTGTTTCCGCAGTGACCCTGGTTGGCCTGTAATGATTTCTCTGCCCGAGCAGAGCATGCAGTACAGAAGCACTCTATCTATTTCAGCGGGTGCCCAAGGCCAGGTTCTCAGTTAGCATCAAGCAGCACGGCTCCATAGGAGCTACATCAATTGACAGCAGCCGAGGAACTAGCCCTGGGCCCTCCCTGCTTGCCCTGCCAGAAGCAACAAGTGACGGACATGGATCCAGCAGCAGAGACAGGGCACATGCAGCGAGTGTCAGCGTAACCTTCCAGCGTGTGAACAGACACCAGCACACACACCGTACAACAGAACCTCATGGGCTCATGCCCACAGACAGCTCAGGCCTGGCTTAAGTTCCCAGGTTAGCAAAGGAGACAGAAGTGTCTACACCACGTCCCTACGAGCATTTTGGTTCTGCCAACAGCGACAGCTTCGCGTTAATGAAGTAGGTTACTCTGCCGGTCTGTTAAGGAACGTGCCCCTGCACTATCAGCTATTAAGGGAAGCGTGGAACTGTCATTTTGGTGTGTGGGTTAAAGAAGCGTTTTCCAGTGAGATCTGCTGCATTACCATCTTCTCGGCTCTCCTGACTGCAGTTATGACTAGCGCCATGATCCCAGATGACCCAGGAAGGAATTCCACGAGTATCCCCTTACCAGGTACAGAGGAAAACCAATGGAAATCGCGACAGGAGACCTCAAAGCAGCCTCTGTTGCAGTAACCTGTCCTGCTGCTACACAAACAAGCCACGTGCCGTCTACTTTACCTCTGCAAGGTTTGTTCTGTTTTTTAAAGCACGGTGAAGTACCCAATATCACGTAATAAACGCTCCTCCACTAACAGCAAGCTCAACACAACTGTCTCCAAATACAGGCTGCGAGAAGGAGGTTACACGAATTTGGACCCCATCTAGAGCTCAAGATTTTCAGCGGAGCTCTGCAGCGACTTAACTCTGAGCCCACCTCGACGGCAACATTCCTCAAGTTTCAGCGGAAGCAGAGTTAGGCCCAAGCTGAGCACATCCAAAAATCCTGCCTCCAAATACTGAGCACGGGACAGACTCTGTCCACAGATACACTTGGTGCCTACTAACTTACTGAAGCACTGGAGGGTATAGGATTATAACTCCTAGCATACAAATATAAAATAGTAGAAAACAGTGCTATTATTGTTATGAAAAAGTATGAGTTTCTTAGCTTATGTCAACTGGATACAACCACAAATGCTATTTACCAGTAATTATGGTACCATAGTAGTTTCTTGAAAAAACAACAAAAACCCCAACACAATACAAAAACAAAAAGAAAAACCAACAAAAACAAACGCTCCAAAACTTCTATTTTCTTTAAAGCAAGCTTCCAAGTCTTGACTTTTGGCACTAGCATTTCCCATGTAAAAGTAACATGGTTGTTTTGGTTTCTAATCTACTACTTAAAACTATAAACTTAAGGAATGGGAACTGGAGATTGCTCTTGGGATAAAGAAAGGACGGGTAGAGACTCCCTTAATAATTTTGGCTCAGGCAGATAAATGTGAGGCCGGAACATCCCAGAGCTGTTCCAGAAGATGATGGACAGATCACAGGTTCCACCATTCGATTGCTCTCCCATACCAGTCAGACTTCAACATAAAATTTGAAGGTATTCTTCTAGAGAAAAATTAAGATCATGTCCCCGGCCCACCCTTTAGAAAAAAATATTTTATTTGATTGGGCTGATAAAAGCCCAGTTTCCAGTCTGGTAATGGGAAAAAGCAAATACAGACATGCAGCAAGAAATCAAAAAACAACCTCCCAAATTGTAATAAACCCTACAAAGGATGTGGGTGACATCCGCTTACTTTTTCTTGTCCTTGTCTTTCTTGGTTTGTTGAGAACCTGCCTGCTGAGCCTGTGACTGTAATAGCTGAGCTGCTGCCTTCTTCTTTTGGAAGTTGTTCAGCTCTTCCTCAAGTTCCTTCTTTTTGTCTTCCACCTTTTTCTTCTCTTCTTGGTGAGTCCTCTTTAGATGGTCAAACTTTTCATGGAGCTGCCAGGACAAAGACAACGACACTTGGACAGTAACAATACCTGAAGCGGTGCCGTTGGCACCAAGACCTCACCACATCAATAACCAATTGTTGGCCTGTCCCAAACACATATGACTACGAGAGAAAAGCGCCGCAATTAACACACGTGCTGGGAATTTAAGTTGCTGCAGGAACATGACGGGTCTCTGGACACCTTCAAACCCCCACGTTCCGCCCCTCATTGCTTCGTACCTACTGCGTTCTCTTACACTTGTGCAAAGCAAGAAAATGGGGCAATTCAGGGTGACAGACTTCTCCGGGGTTCTTCTCTGTACCCGTGTAGAAGTACATGTCCCTCCATGAGGCCCAAGAAACAACTCCCTCCCCTAGAAGGACATGCACATTTTTTTTTGCCCAGCAGCAATCGGTGCTGACCTACACCCTGGAAGCAAATCACAGTAGGGCAGCTCTCAAAGAGCTCGGTGACATCTCTACAACGATGCTGAGTGGGACTTGCTGCCCTCTAGGAAGTCCTTGTCTACTTACTGCAAGTCTCCAGAAAGGGGCAACTGCTCAAGGGCAGCACTGGCTGTACCGTAGCTGAAGATCCGCTGTAAACCAGTATTATTTGGAGTAGTAAACATATTCTTTCCTTTGTGTGGGACTGAAGAGCCGAGAGAGCGGACAGGACTCCCTCAGCATAGCGAGGCTGCCATTTCTGTGGGGTAGGTAGCCACACTGCAGCATCTCCCACTCACTCCATGGTATATATCCCCCTCCAGCTCCCCGAAACAAGGGAATGCTCTTGCTCCGTTTCACAGGCACAGAAAAGTGGCCAAAAACTTGGGTGATAAGGTTACACCACAAGTCCATGGCATGACTGGGAGCTGACTTCCCATCTGCTTCTTGAGATTGTTTTGCACAGCAAACACCTTTGAAGGCTTGATGGTGGAAGGCAGGTGCGCACATTCTCAGGGCTCTCGTTAAAAAAATCCACCCTAAACTCTCACACACAGTCCTCTGAATTCCAATATACTCACATCTTTCTCTGCTTCCTTCAATTCTGCTTCCTTCTCCTTCACTCGCATGACGAACATCTGCCTCATTTCGTCTTCCTTCTTCTGGAGTTCGCCCAGGAATTCGTTCCTCTTTGCTTCATAGGTCTCTTGGAGACTGTTAAAAAACACAGAAAAAACAGAGTTGTTTCCAAGCACAGTCATGAATTTCCAGCTTTTGGCAACCTTACCGCATTGTCCTGTCACAAACCATCGTCAGAGGTCCCTGACTACCAGAGAGGTGTGAACACCACCACCAAAGCCAGTCCTAGCTTGCTAGGTGACAGATTTGGGAAACAAATTGGCAAGAAAAACAACGAGCGTGCTGTTCAAGATCCTCTAAATCACTTAGCGGGCAGGATGACTGTCCTCAAAAATAAAAATAGTCGCTACGTAAAAATCTACGGCAACCCCTGATGCTCACCAGGCCCGTGATCCGTTTGAGTCACACCCTTCCACTTCTCGCATTGTCTGTCCTGAGTCTCTTCATCAGACGTGCACGACTCGTGTAACAGACACTGCCATACCAGAGTTCGAAATCTGGCTTTACGTAGTTCATTAAGCAAAACTAATTTTCACTACTCATTGCTAATAGATTCAGATCAGGAGCTTTATTTAGATAAAGCCACCTTGGGAGACCTCTTTCTCCTTCAGCTGTGAAAGGAGGCTAAGCCTCTGCCAACGAGCAGCAGCTTTGCTCCTCCAAATAACCACATTCCTGGATTCCTTCATTCCTTTAATTCCCCCTCTACTTCTTGGCATTTCTTTATTTCCCAAGCACTGAGATACCACAGCAAAGATCTGGGACACAAAGTATGTTGTCCACGCACCTCTGAGATTTTCGGGGCCTCTTAGGAACTCTGGACGCCAAATTCCTTTTCATTTTATTCCTTAAATGGATTTGGATACTGCAACTATAATGATAGTGTGGGAATGATAACTGTTTCCCTCAAGATGCTGTTTTGAAAATGCATTTTTAAATGAATACTCCACTGCTACCACACATATACATTGCATCCAGGTATTAATGGAACATCTTAATCCCAATTAAATCAAGATTTTGCCTTTTCTGGTGTGTAGAGGGGTTCTTGGTGTTGGGGTTTTTTTGTTGGTTTTGTTAAGTTTGGGGTTTTTTAAGGGGTAGGGTGTTGTGCCTAGGGAACAAAATTTGACAGGTTTCCTAAAGTCTTGGGTTTAACAACGCTAAATGACGGGCACTTAAACTGCCTCTTAAAATACTCCAGCTGATCACAGCAGATTGCCACACATTAAAGCAAAAATGCCGATTCTAAAACCGACAAAAATCTTTTCATGGGAGGATAGGGCGAGAGACATCTTGGCATTTTTAACTAAAGGCAGAACCAGACCACTCACAGCACACAGACATCAGGAAATCTAATCAAAACCTCCCTAAAATTCAGTATTGGATTTAATCCTCTGATTGTAGACACTGAAACTTAAATTCATAAATCCTTTTGAAGAGCCTGGCTAGAGCCTAGGAAAACCTTGAGGGCAGGTCAGCCTTGGCTGCTCAGTGAGCCAGAATTCAATGTGCAATTAGCGCCACAGTGTACTAGGGAGCAGCAGAGCCTCACGGACCGAAGCGGAAAACCCTGCGCGCTTCTAATCACACCCTGTATTGCAAACGGTTTCTTGCCAAGCTGTTTCCCAAACCAGAATGCCAGGTGATGGGCATGTGGGGAAAAGGCTGGCAGGAGCTTGCTGTTAAATTGTGCGAGTTTCAATGCTAATCCCTGCTTCAGGCTTTAAAACTTAGCACTAACGTAACGCCAGCAAGCTTAATTCTCTGTTGAAGTGACTCTGACATTCAGAGAAGCAAACTTCTCTGAGAATCTGGCACGGCAACTCCAGGCTGCATATGAAAAAACCCCACTTACCTCCCAAGGGAATAACAGTCCAAACCAACTGGGATCCCTGTAGCATCTCACAACCATGACAAAGGAATTTATTTTTTTAAGTATATTAACACATGAACCTAGATTAGAGGAGTAACTTGATTCCCCAACACACTGAAGGAAGCCCTTGCGAAAAATGCTCTTTGAAAGAAAATCTTCTGAGCAAATTAACCAGAGCAACAGAGACATCAGTCCACAACAGACACGAGGACAGAAGCCTATGGGGCACTGGTGCTCCCTCCTCACCTCCGACAAGCCGTGGGGGCTCTGCCAGCAAGGAGGGTCTCCAACACCAGCTTCCCTTTTCCACATCTCACACAAGAACCTACCCAGCACCAATGGTTTGCTGGGGTCTTCGGCCCTGCTCACCCTGGGGGTTACAAAAGGTTCCCTGCTCCCGACTGACACAAAGCAGCACTAGCGCTGCGGTCCCTGTGGCTCCCCGGGTGCGGGCAAAAGGCATGCTTTTGATCCCCGGTCCCAGACGGAAGAACAGAAAGAACCAAACCTACTGTTTTCCTCATTTTAGATATACATCAGCCTCGGCCAAACAGCTTGGGATCATGGGTTTTGTTTGTTTATTGGAGGGAGGAGGCACCCAGAGCCAAGTGTTCGGAACGAGCACGTACCAGATGGAGAAATTCTGTACATTTTCATTTCCTTTCTACTTATAGCTTGGTCAAAAGAGGCCTCGTGTACAGGAAGCAATGGAAATTCCTCAGATTCCTCAAAGGGAAGGGCTGAGCCCATCTTAAGCCAATGCTCTCCAGAAAGGAAATCCAATAAAGCTTCACACTTGGGCTTACTAACAAAACTGGGCTTGACTGATTCCAGCAGAGTTTCTGTGCTGCAAAAGAAATGCAGCTGCACAAACCCAGCAAGTCACAAATAAAACCCTGAACTGAAGCAAACATGGTGTCGTAGCACAGACTTTTCTTGGCTCACCATGAAGCCCTGTTTTCTGGAAACATGAACGCAAGACCCTTGCTCTGCCCACCTGGCTTTCCCCTTTTGAGGATCAGAGATGAACCACGTCTGTGACAACCTGCACAAGGCAGATGGACGACTGCCATCGCAGGCACCGGCACACCAATTCCCAATATGCACGTGTGTTACAGGAGTAAACCCACAATGATGCACGTGTAATTCTGACGGCCTTCCCACGGGGCAGAGAGGAGCGTGGGATGCTTCTCAGGCAGTGGGTGCAGTAACTGGGGAGAAGTTGGGGAGGAATGGGAAACAGGAAATGAAAGGAGAAAACAAACACTCCTCCTCCCAAATTCCCACACAGCTGTTGTCCCTGGCTAATGACTTGGGCTTCAGACCAATAAAGCTGTTAGACAGCACAAACTCTGTATTTAGAGAAAGCCAAACCTCGAGCATCAAACCACAGCATCCTCTTCACAGCACACCTTGCATCAGCTGTGACAAGCTCTAGGAGAGTCAACAAGAACATTTATCCCAGGATCTCGCCTTTGGTAACCAGTTGTACCTCTTCCTGCTCTGGCAGAGGGGCTGGATTAGATGACCTTTTGAGATCCCTTCCAACACCTAACATTCTGCGATTCTGTGTAACATATGAGCTATATTATACATATATATATATATTTGCAATATGCATTGCATGTATCCAAATGTATCAATTATACTTGTATAATATACTTGTATCAATTATGACTTGTAGCAGAGCAAGCTGGCAACAAAACACAGTTGAGTCTGCAGTGAAAGAAAGGAGGCACTAACACATCACCAGAATATCTGAAACTTTACAACTTGCTGACAGATTACAGGAAGGCGACTGACGGAAAGTCAGACCAAGGAATGCTCAGAGAAGGGTGCAAAGGAAACTGATACAACTTAAGCAGCAGAGTGCAGATAAATCGATGGACTCGTGGTTCGTTCTCCTAAACTTTTCAGTTGATCTGAACTGAGTCATGCATCCTGGTAACACTTTGCAGGCTCTAGAAAGCCCTGCTGCAGGGTTGTAGGCATTTTCAAAATGTTACGGCTAGACTTGGCTTTTCTCAGTAATCCAAGTCTTTCCCATGCTTCTCCTGTACAAATCCTACACCCTGAAGGTGAGATGAAAATGCACAGCCACACTTTAGGTATCAGCTGCTCTAAGAGACTATGGCTATTCCCTCTCTGGTTCCTGCAAATGTTGGCTACCCCAGCACCTCCAATCTCTCTGGTGGTACAACAAGGCCTGAGTTAGGCTCTCCTACCTGAAAGGCTTGCTGTCTGGATCTGTGTCCTTGAATCCCATCTCCTCGAGTTTGCAGCGCCTGTACAGCTCGTAGTGTCGGGTGTGCGTCTGCTCTCTCAAATCCTCCATGTTCACTCGGATCAGCATCTCTCGCAGCTTCACAAAGTCACAGTGATTTTCGTTCTCAACTGCAAAACAGACAGATCATCCACAGAGAGAACGTGAAACCCAGGAACCAGGTTCCCCCCTTCCCTGGGCCCCAGTTTAGCAAGCCTGAGAGTTGTTCAGGCGCACAAGCAGAACACAAAAAAGCCTTGCTCAACTGGGGGTGAAACCTTCCCAGAAGCACCAGTTCAAGGCCTTTCACTGGATTTGCAAGATCTCTGTGATGCCCATCTGTCACACAGCTCCTGTCTCTCCGTGTATTTCTGCACAAGCAAGGTGATGATCCATTTGCACATTAGATTTCACTTCCCACTCAAATCCACTCTAATTCCAAGTCACTAACAAGGGTGCAGACAAGAAACAAAGTCTGTTTGTGCCAGCGGTAAAAGGAAAGGTTATGAGAAGCCTCCATCAGAGAAGCTGTACCCCTTCCGTGCCAGATGACCTTCCAAAGGAGCCCTAAAACCCTGCTCCTGGCACTGAAGAGAGGCAGCACACAGAGTACAACGTGGCTTCCCGTAACTTCTATTCAGAGCAAGGTCTGGTGTGCCACCGGCAGCCCCTGGGTGATCAAGCTGTGAAGGGCCGGCAGCCAGAGGGCTGCACGCTTCAGTGCAGGCAAACAGTTTGGGTATGCTTAAAGACAAGGAAGCTTTCTCTTTAGGATGCAACAGCAAGCGGCAGGCATCTCTGCTGCACGCCTCTGGGGACCGGGCGAAGCTCTCCAGCTGCACCCCAGCAGCAGAGCAGATGTCTCTGCAAAGGGGCAGCTCAGGGCCCAATCTTGCAAGTCTCCTGCTACCCAGCAAAGGGTCTTTTCCAACCTGAATGATTCTATGAAAATCCCTGGGACTAGCCAGTCCTAGTTTGGTGGGAACATCAGTAACAGCAGCATGTGCATCAAGACCAAGATTTCTCAAACATAATGATCTTCTTGGCTAATTGTGAGTTATTCTCACTACTATCCTCTGGCGTACACAGCTGAAGACACTGAAGTCTGAAGCGGCTTTAGGGCCAGCTTGTATTAGTGAGAACATCTCCATGAGTTTTGCAGAATTGCCCTGCAAATGTCCCCTTGCAGCTTGCTGGGCCATTCCTCAGCCAGAAAAGCAGCTGAAGCCACGAGCAGACCACTGCCACCACCTCAATCCTGTTCCTCTCAGCACCGGATGGCAAAGCAAGGATCAGCCCTATCTTTGGCAGCTTCAGTACAGCCTGCATTGCAAACACAGCCCTAACCAAATTGTGCTCTCCAACAGAAAGGAGCTTTTGGCTGACTTAATGTCGGATTGTGTACTTAAGCTGCAAGTCCACAGCTCCCACTGGCAGGACAAAACATAGCCAGCAGGCAGTGCTGAATTAGTTCTGCTCCCACTTCAAGTGGAGAGGCCAGAGGACCTGCTGACCTCCTCAGAAAAGCCCCCAGCTACATGTCTGCGTTCAGACTAGTGTGCAACATCCAAACCAACCCACTCAGCTTTTCCTGTTGCTCATGCTTTTTTGCTACCAGAAAAGCTTAAGGGGCAGAGAATGGAAATTTCAGTTTTCATTTCCCAAGCCAGTTACTTAGCATGTCCTCATAATGTCACCCTGTTCTCCACCATCCTCTCCACCAAACACCCTCCCCGTCTAGATCTAGGTTGCAAAGCCCTGATTTTAAGGAGAAATCTTAGAGCTGCAACCCGGCATTCTCAAAACAGATTTTGATAAACAACATCCAGAGATCAACACCCTTTTTACCAGAGTAACATAGGTCTTATTTGTGCTTTCAGTAACATACCCTGCACAACACCCCAGGGGTACTGCCTGGCTTTTGCCATCTTATTGCCGATCTTCACTTCTTCAGTGCTGCCAACTACAGCAAAAGGAAGGTGGACCTACAAAAGGAAAGGGACAACGAGGTTAGGGATTTCCTTTGTTGCCTTGCCAAGGATTGTTTCTGAAGAAAGCTGTTTACTGTGGCAGCTGTCCTGGATTTAAGTTGCTTAAACGCCTTGGCAATTCATCTGGTGTTTTTGAAAGAGCGACAGGACAGTCTGGATGAGAAACCCGGTCAGACTTAAAGTCCAAAATTCTGGAGTCCTAAAAGTGAGAGGTACGTATCTTTAATTACAAAGCATGACTATCTTAAGCACAGAAATCACCTTACAAACTTGAACTGAATTTGAACGCTGAGGTAAAATAATGATTTTTAAAAAGTACATCCTGCCCAGGAAGGTAGGCTAAAAATTCAGGGGGTTTCTGCTGCTAGAAATAACTGCTAATACTTCCTCTCAAAAAGGGCAAAGCTGTGAACCAGGGGAAGAGCAGAGCTGACCCAGCCCTGGGCTGAGACATCTGAGTCACCAAGTTCTGCTGAGTCCCAGTCTCTCCATGGGTGTGGTGGCGACAATCTGGGATCTACTCCCAGAAATGCAGTTGCTGCCAGAAGGGAGCTCGCCTCTGCCATCAGCTCCCCCCCTACCGTAACAGCATCCAAAAGGGCTGAGCACAAACTGAGGGAGCGTGTTGGCCAAGCTCTTGTCACAGGCTGGGTGGGAGAGGAAGAGGCTGCGTGGCAGAGGAGATGTGATGAACCGGCAAGAGTTTCCCAGCCCCAGAGGAAAGAAAACACACACTGCACCCTGGCAGAGCCCTGTCCCTTCTCTGTGCCAGCTTCTCCCTGCTGAGAGAAAAATATAGACAGGGAGAAGAGCTAATAAAAAGGTTTGGAGAGGATCTCAAATCCAGCTGGATGTGACAATTGCTCATTTGCAAGGGCAGGGAAACTCACCAAAACCTTCAAGATGTATGAAAAAGACTTCATCTTGATACCTCCGTACCCTGTAAAAATGCAGATAACCTCATCCTTGCTTCTGAGTCACTTGCTTTGGGGTTGGCACATCCTTTCGTGTGTCACGTGCCTCGCTAAAGCCACCCGAGGGCCCTGTCAGCACTGCTGTGATGCACGTCGCTGCCAGAAACCTCGAGCTCAGGTCCTTCCCCTTGTGCTTCAAGTCAGGCCCACGGGAAACAGTTGTTTCCCTCTGCAAACCCCACTGAAACGATTGGCCAACCCTAGCCCTGTTTGCCCTCAAATCCCATCCTTAATGCTAGAGGAAGGGGAAGGAAAGGAAAGCCGGTGCCCTTGCCACTGATGGCCACTGGCCCTGCCAAGAGCTGGAACATCATCGACGACGCCCCTGCTCCTACCGGAAAACGAAACAAAGGCAGGAGTCAGTCACCCCCACACCAAGCAACAAGTGCTTGTCTGCGACAGGAAACCTAAACCTCAGCCCTTTGCCCTGACCACGTCGGGGTCCTGCCTCCCATCCTCTTCCTTTCTAAAAACGGGAATACCGCAACAGAGGAAGGATATGAAAAAAAGCTCAGAGAATCGTTTTTCAGACAATGAAGTGTATCAGGCCAAGCAGCCCACGTGTGGCAGGTATATCTCCAGCTCCAAGAGCCTTCCAGCCAGTCTGCTGCCTATGCTCAGATTTCAGTTTTAAAGCCAAAAAAAACCTGGGACAATATGCCCGACCACCAAGGATGGGTCCGTGCAAACCAAGGCAAGACCACCTCTCATCCCCCCAGAAAAACCAACATCAAAACAAAACAACATACACTCATCGTGGCATTTATCTCAGCCACTGTCTCTTCATCAGTCGGGAACTGGTAGATCTGGACACCGTTGCTGACCAGCTCGCTCATGATTTTACTCTTGAACTTGTGCAACTCGTTTTTCGCAATGGTGTCAGCCTTGGCAATGATGGGGATGATGTTCACCTGCAAGACAACAACAGCACCTCCACGTATAGGACTGCACGTGGTGTCACGAGGAAAGGATGGGGAGCAGCACGCATCCTGCAGCAACAGCCCTGTACGTGCCACCAGCCACCGCCCCCGTGGCAAAACATCTTCCCAGGGGCTGCCGTTGCCAGCCCCACTGCCTGAGGATTTTCAAGCAGCTGCGACAATGGCCTTAAAAAGAAGCCATAGGTAATTTGGCAGCATGCTATTTCCTGTCCTGCTCTATTCCCCTCCTCATCCGAGTTGGCTGGACAGGAAATGCTGTCAGAGATTATTAGAAGCTGTGCCAAAAAAAGGAAATGGCCATCTAAGCACTTCTCCTCCACGCCACAGCAGGCTCGGTAACTGCAAGAGACACACTCAGCCAAGCTCCTCTTGCTGGCATTTTCTTGGGTCTTCTTACTGGGCAGACAGCCACGCTGCTGTTACCCCACTGGAGGTGGAAGCAGAAGGTCACACGGAGAATGTGGATGTGTCTACACCATGGGGGAAAGCTGGCAATAATTTTGGCACGCTTCCTCCACCTGCATGTCCTCACATGCTCCCACATGCTGCTGCACTGCAGGATGAGCGCTGATTTCTAAGACAGCTCTAAGACAATCATCCAAGAGAACCACATGATGAGGTTAACATAGAAATGAAAGATTATTTACTGATTCTCTTCCCTAGACAGGCTGTTTGCAATACTGGCAGCAGGACAGCAAACAGCAACACCACCTAGAAGCCAAGGGGAGATGGCACGGTACCCTCAGTGTAGCTGAATGGATCAGTGCACAGCAAGCACCACACAAGCATCTGCTTTGCTGGGAGAAGGCAAGGATGCATTAGGAGAAGGAATCCTGCTTGCTTTCCCTTTCTGCTCCCTTCCGACAGACAATTTCTGCTTTTGATCATGCAGGATTTACTTTTCCTTGCAACAGCAGACAGGAATTGTAGTGATGATGATGCTGATATTGACCTATATGAAGAGATTTTAACTACAGTACTTGAAAATCCTCTTATATTACATTGCTTAATTCTGTTCAGAGGATGGTCTGGAGTTATTAAATCCCCCCTTGCCAAAAGACAGAATGTGAATGCCAATTAGCTCACTTAGAGTAAATCTCCATAGCACTATTTGAAGTTGAATAGAGCAGGGATCCTTCTCCATCACTGCAGAAAACTCAACAGATCAGTCACTAAGAAGTAAAGAACCATTGTCAAATTAATCTTCTGCAGAATCAGGATCCAATGAATCAAAGGTACAAGTTGGACTGATTTAAATTTGCTTAATCATGACGTAAAGAAGCACAGAGAAAGCCTAGTTTAAATACTCAGGTTTTACATTTGTACCTTTGTTATTTTCCCTAGAGGAGAAGAGATGAGATCTTCTTGCAAGTATCTAGTAAACCACCATGGTTTAAACCAAGCTCAGTTCCCACTGTTGCTAGTCACAAGGTTAACTGAAAAAGCACGTATTTATTCAGATTCTTCCTGTTTATCAGATTATCATTATAATAACACTATATTTGCCATAGAAGATCAAATCACTGTTTGTGTCTAGCTGGATGCAGTCAGAGCACGTAGACACAGCATTGAGCTGTTTTTCACTGATTAGCAAGATGACCTAAAGTGTTTCATTTGTATTTCTCATCTCATAAACACTGACCACACCACTTTTGTACAAGAACCTAATGAGTCTGTCAAACAAAGTGAAACACACATCGCAACCACGTATCGAAGTGCTAAAACTAGCAGCGTTCAACCTCTCCTTTTTCTTTATGCATTTAAGGAAGAAAACATACTTTTCTCTTTTTCAACTACTAACTGATCTTTCAGTTGCGAACAATCCTGTCACTGACTTTGGCAGAGTTAACCCACAGCAAAGCAAAAAAGAATGGTGGTCTCCTAATGCATCCTCATAAACATTTCCCTCAGACTTCTCACTTTATAGCATAGCTGGGGAGCAAGGGGCCAAGGTTCCTAACCCGAGATGGGACTAGGAGAGGAGCCCAAACTCTTAATAAATTTCTGCAGCACATGAATCAGTGAACCCATTCCAGCAGCTAGCCCAAGGTAAAGTTTTCACCCAGCATCTCAGCAATTTACCACTGCTAAAACCAGTATTTTTCTGAGCAGATTTAATTAAGTCTGCGGCAAGATCGTAAAAACACTAGCAGGGCTATGCAAAGGTCATAACATGAGCAGGAAGTACCTTACTATCGAGCTTCTTCATGGTGACCAAGTCTAGGGACTTGAGCGAGTGTCCAGTTGGTGCAATGAAATACAGGCAGGCATGAATTCTGGTGTCATGATAATTGAACAGAGATCGTTTGATCTTTAGCTCTTCTTGCAAGTAGGCTTCAAACTGCGCATCAATATATTCTACTATGGGCTTGTAGCTGGAGAGAGAAAACACGGCACAGAGAAAACCAGGGCATTCGCTGCTAGGACAGCACAGTCATCAGCCCACACTCAAGAAGCTTCATGGGTGCTCTGTACATTACAGGACAGGTGCTGCTCTTAAAACCCCCCCCACCCAACCTACAGTCTCTCCTTCACAAGTGTGTGTTTCCCTTTGGTGCACAAGGAGAGTATTCTGGAGAGATGAGCAAGGTAAGTGGCCTTCAGGTGCATGGGAACCACGTAAGGCTGCCACCCTGAAAAAGAATGTATTTTGCAGTCTCTCCAGTTGAAGTCTGAGCTGCTGCTCTGCCAGTGCCACAGGGAATCATGTGATACAAGAATATAGACACATGAGGCAGCAACCTACTCTACCTTGTCCAAAAGTTTGTGATCTTAAAAGAGGGAAGTGAGATTTACAAGGGGTTAAAAGGGACTTTTCAGGAATTGAAGCCTGTGAGCAAAGCTCAGGAAACAACTGCACCATTCATGTACTTCAAGGGAACCATCTTATTGGAGAAAAAGAGAAAAAAAAAAAAACAAAACACCAACAACTGGAACATTGTAACACACCTTCATCTGACTAACTCATTGTGCTTCTGGGAAGGAAATTTTTCTATTTGTTCCTCCGTGAATCAGGGGCACCCTCAGGACCTCCAGCACCAGGAAGCTCTGGAAGGAGGGCACTGAGACCAAGGCACCACACCCCAAAGCAGGGGCAACAGTTGCATTCTGGTGTCAGGTCAAGCAGCAAGGAAGTATCACAGAAATAAAGCATTGTAAAATGTTGCCTTAAAAGAAAAAAAAAAAACAAACCTGCAGCATTTTCCTTAAGGGATGGGAAGCAGAACCTGCTCAATCTCCATGCTAACAGGGATCTTGGGATAAATTTTTGACATGAAGTTTGCATTTCCTAAGGGCTTATGCTGTCTATCTATCTAGTGCCCTAAAGCTTTTGGTCAGCGCACACGGTGCCAGCCAGCACGCCCCTCATTTGGCAAGGTGCAGGTAAGAGCATCACAAACAACCTTCCCGGAAAGTTTAGGAAACGCATTAATTAGTGTATTAGTCATGATTACAGAATGACTAGTTTTAATCCTATGGCAAAAGTCCATATGGATGGACCGAAGGGATTATACAGGCTGTCCGGAAAATTAACTTTATGCACAAAACGTGAAAATCAGCACCCAGGTACAATGTTTAACTAACACCCACTCTGACTTGAGCATTGGCCAGTGGTGTGAGCAGGAACTACGATCCAAGTTCCAGCTACCTAAAAGATGCAATTGAACCGCAATTTGAACTCGTGCTTTCAACTATTTACATGTTTCAACTCCGGCAGAGATTTGAACTAAGTTGCACACAGACAAGGAGGACAGAAACATGTTGCACTTGTGCAGCTTAGTTGATCTGCTTGTTTTTCGCTTCAGTTTCTCATCACTTAAGACCTGTTTCATGGGGTGAATGTTGCCAGCTGCCACACCCAGACCAGCAAACACCCCCAGAACAGCGAGGGACCTACTTCCCACACAGGGTCAGGCCATTTTCATAACAGAGCACATCAGCGCAAGAATTCCTTCTCCTAACAGAAATAAATTTACCTGTCATCTTTGTTAATTTGATCGCCAAAACCAACCGTGTCGACGATAGTCAGCTTCAGACGGACGTTACTCTCCTGGAGCTCGTAACTCCGGGCTTTCAATCTCACGCCGGGCTCGTTGTGCGTCGCAGGTTCGCTTTCAAACTTGGTGTTGAACAGAGTGTCCATCAACGTTGATTTGCCGATGCCCGTCTCCCCTAAGCCAACAAATGCAATGTTAGTACAATCCTATGGCTTCTCCTCGGCTCATTCGCAGGCACATTTGCCAGGCTTAGGAGTTATTCCACTTGGGTAGCAGCGGAATTAGGCTACGTGCACACAGCTAAGCAAAATAATCGCTGCAGGAACAGATGTCTTTTGAGAGAGTCCTCATATTTATCAACCCCCAAAGACTGGACCAGGGACTCTGTGGATATTAGGAGGTGACAGCAGCTCTGGTTTCTGCTGCTGTGCTCCTCCTCAGGTCCCACCACCTGGGTCCCTGCAGCACACACTGCAGACACACCCGATCAAAGCATCATAAACTGGGGAAGTGTATCTGCACCTGAAGAGAAGATACTAAGCTGGAAAGAAGGGAGAAAAGACAAGTAAGAAAAAAATAAATAAAATAAACCCACGAGAGTTGCAAGAAAAGTTACTTAGCCATTTGTCAAGTGAGCCCCCCTCCTTAGAGAAGGTAAAGGACTCCTTCTATGATGCACCAGGAAATCCCTGCTGTTGGTAAAAGCCCGTTACTGGACTTGATACAGTGGCAGCGCACGAGAGACACATAATCATTCCTTTCCCATAGAAGTGTTTGATTCCAGCAGTCTTCAGCTGCTGCCTGTGGTTCTTACATCGCTATGACTTGACCCGTGATACAGGCTTCCTCCTGCTTGGTGGCATGAAGAGCCTCAACCTCCCAAGCAACGTCTGTATTGAGGACAGGAGGAAGCTGTTATTACTTAAGAAAGAAATACTTTATTCTCTTTTTCATAGTGTAGACTAAGTCCTAATTCTGATATAATTTTCTTTACAGAAGAAAGTTGTAAACTTTCTCAGCTCTGAGTCTGATTCCCAAGGAGACAGCTGATGCTCTACATACTTGCAAGGATTTTTTTCAGCTCTGTTTCTATCCATTTTGCAAGAGGATTGCAAAAAAAACCACCCCACCATAGTGCAACTAGCACAATGATAACGTGAGACAGAGAAATACTTTAAAAGTTTAGAAAAAATCTAAAATAGGACACTGCTTAAATACCAAATTTTAAAACTACTACAGGTTCACTGATCTCTAATGCAATTGATAGCATGGATGAAAACATTAGCTTAAATCTCATTTTAAGTTAAGTGTTTGCTTTGCAATTACGCTCCCAAACTATTACTGCTACCCACACTGTGAGCAGGGGGTGGGCTGAGGTAATGTCCTGAAGTTGCTCCAAATTCCTCCAGAATTCCCGTGTGCTGCTCTGGCATTTGTAGGTCAGGTTTATGAAGTGGTCCTATCCCACTCTTGAACACCCTAGAATTTTAAGTGAGCAATAGAAAAGTGATGCAAAAGTATCGGGTGAGAGAGGAGAGCCTGCCTCTGTGACTGCCCTCAAGCGTCTCTGACCTGTACGCAGCTCTCCTAGAACGTAAACAGCTCTCAAAATACACAAAGCTTAGACTTGGAAGATGTCAGAAAACCAGATATTTGTGTCCATAGAAACAAAAACTATTACTCTGCAACTGCCTGTTGCTCTGCTCATTTTGCTGGCTTGGACTTGGACCATTTTCATGCTAGATTCAATAAGGTAAGTGATTACTTACCACCCAGTAAAATAATTGAGCAGAGATAGGCTCCTTGCAGCATTCCTACCCTGTGAAGCCGCAGGACACGAAGAAAGCTTTTTTAAAAGTATGAGCAAACTAAAGAGGGAGAAGACAGAAAGCATATGTGATATCAGAGCTCAAAAATCTAGGCCCACATAGAGTGTAACCCACATGAAAAGATCAGTCCTAAACTGATGGCACAGACCGTTCATCTCTGAAGTGACATATTTTAGCGAGCTCCTGATGCGAACGCAGCGCTGCTGCATGCTGGGCTAGATGGGCTCTGCAGCATTTCATCCGTGCACACCACAAATACAAGTCTCACATTACAAAGTCCAAGTTAACGGCGTCCTTTTTCAAAACACATTTTTATTTTTTTTAAAAAAGGGACATTTTACTCCCTGGACAATTACGGCAATTTTAATTTGGGGCAAAACCGGTTGATCAGCACATTTTAGAAAAGAGCTGGACCAAATTGCTATGTTGATGGAGACATATCAAGTCATGCTAAGAGAGGAATATTTATTGCAAAAGAAAAAGGCAATTAATTTATGCCATTTTGATCAAAGAGCTGCCTACTAATCGTGCTGTTCCTTGCTGAATTTTAAAAGGTTTCATGCTGCTAGTAGAGTCACGTGAGGGTTGGTAGCTTGAGCGTGCAGAAGTACAACTATTCTCTTATCTCGTTCTTCGACATGCAAAGCTGCAGAGAGGAGTCTAGGTTGTTTGCCAGATTTCTTTTCAGACAGCTCAGCCAGCACTGCAGACAGAAATCTTCAACTTGCTGTAGAAAAATCACAGTCAGAGGACTGTGGGCTTTTTCCAGCTAATTAATGTAACAAATTAGAAGGGACAACACTCCCTTCTTTCAGGTTTAAACGAACAACGAATGGGAAGATGCTGTTTGTGGGCTGCTCTGCCAAACTATGAATAAATCCCACCATTCCTGTCAGTTTACAGAACCAAATGCTGGCGGCATCTCCAAGAGGTCAAAGCTGCTTTGGCTCTCTAGGGCTGAGCAGTGGATTTCCAGCAGCGTAGTATCCAGAGTATCAAGACAGCAGGTATCTCCCTACAGCCAAGAGAAGGAGTTGCTTCCCCCTATCACACCCTCTGACTCATTTGGGAAAGCATGATAACTCAGGCAACAAAATCAACTTCCAGCTCCCAGATTAAATCCAGCAGAGCACAGGTGACAGGCTTTTTTCACAAGTACATCATTTAGAGACTAAAAATGGCACCGTTTCTAACCGAAGAAACTAAGAATATAACATGAGAGGCTGGCAAAGCCTGGAAGGGAAGGAATGCAATTTACTGAGAACAGCCTCCATGCCCAACCCGAAGAAAGGCAGATTTAAGTTCACGCTTTTGGGAAGATACATTTAGTTCCCAAGTTTGCCCAGTTTCCTTACGGGTGCAGCCCTTGAGGTGAGCAGAACCACCAAACCATCAAAAGGGTAGATTTTAACAGCTAGAAATTTCCAGGTTTTGACTCAGGGGACAGAGTAGAAAAAGGAAAAGAGGGAACTAGATTTTTACCTTCAAGCAGCTCTGGGAAGAAACTGTCACTTCCTTGCCACAATGGTCCCCAGTGGCCCAGATCTTAGCCTTCCCAGGAGGGGGAAGGTGCTAATTTGAGGGTACACGTGTAGACTTTGGTGTGAACCGACCATCCAAGTGCACGGGATGACTTACCCACGCAGAGGATGTTGAAGCAGAAGCCCTGCGACGTCGACTTGTTGACCAGCTGATCGGGGAGGCTGTCAAAGCCCACATGGCCAGAGAGGGACAAGTTCCTAAGGTCATCATTCTGCGAGGCCAAGAAAAAAGGTGTTTAACAGGGTTGCAACTTAGGGAACAAGGCTGTGTCTAGTCCTGTCAGAGCTCTGTAGTGACGCAGGAGTTTGAGACACGTGGTGTTTTGTATAGTTTGCTTCCCAAATATGCCCTCCTTTTAGTTCTACCCTGCTCTCTGCTGTGTGGCTCAGGGGCTAAAACATCCCCAACCCCAAAGCACACAAACACCACCAAACTGTTTCTCCATGCCTTTGACTAACAAAACATGCCTCTGGACCAATCTGCAGCACCCAAAGATTGTTTCTGAGGCCTCAGCGCCACATATCCCTAAGATTACCCAAAGATTATTTACGCAGATGCCTGGAAGAGACACAGTGAAACAAAGCTGTGAGCAGACAAATTTCAGTTTCATTGGTCAAGCAGCTGCGTCTGCCTCCTCTGTGTTCACTGTAGAGCTCTACAGCTCTCCCAAACAGCACACAAAAAAGTGACAAAGATTGTGCTGTGGTCCCGGTTGAGATTCCAAAATGTATTCCTGATAGAAACCTGTGTAGGCAAGTAGAGCCAAGCTCGCGCTCTCCTCCGGTCAGGTTGCCAAAGAGAAGGCGCAACTCTTTACAACCGGCTCTAGCCTCCCAGCAGCACAAGGGAAAAGCCAACACTCTCGTACGTCTGTTGCAACCCTTCAGCACGGCCACAGCAGGACATAGCTTAGATCGCAACGACGCCTCTCGAGCCAGCTAAATCTCTTTTTCTAGCTTTTATGGCTCTTGACCAGAAAGTGAAAAAGGCAGGCATGCAGCTCTGCAGATGCCTTGGTTTACAAATAACCTCATCTGACACGAGGGGAGAAAGCAGGGCACCTTTCCCAGCGCTTCCTGCATGACCTACAAAGCTCACAGTGCTGCCCCTCCGTGTCTGCAG